CAAACTGGTTTCAGCCATTTTTAAACTGGTTTACGTGCACTAAACATCTGTTCTGTTATGGGTTTAAACCAGTTTCTGATCACTTAAACTGGTTTATGTAATGTCTGTCCCTAGCCTATGTGACAGTCAAGGTATGCTTGCATCTCTAGTCACTACGTACCATTGCCTTCCTGATTTGGGCAAAGGAATAGTTTGACAAACTACTAGGCTAAACCAGTTCATAAAGGCTGTACAGAGTCTGTACCCTCAGATGGGGAAGTGACAACTGATGAGTACTTAACTGAATCAAGTCTAAGACTACATCTATGGTAGGTTCTAAGAAGTCTAGAACATGAATGTGACACCTAAACCTCTTAAAGTTGATGTCTGTGACTTCCCTGAAGCTATTAACTGATAAAAGAATTATTTGTACCTTGTTTGAGACTGCCTGTTCTCTAACTACAAGATTATACTTTCTTAAAATCACTTCCACCATGACCTTGGATAATAACATGACAGAATCTGAAACAGTGGAAGTGGATGATACTGAAAATGCTGTTGAATGAAAATCTAAGTACTGAGATACAAGTATAATGTACATAAATAAGGATCCTATGAATCTACTGTGTATACTACCTGATGACAGTTAGGAACGATTCAACATTATTTTTTTTTCTTTTTTACAAACCAACTGGACCATCTGAAATTCAGAATTAATTCTGGGGAGTAGTCACCTAGATTCCTTTCTTCACTAAGGCTTAATATCACAGCCTTAATTCATAAAAACTAAGACAGAGTTGATGATGTTTTCTGCTTTTTCCTCTGGAGAAGAAATTCAGTAAGAACAAAAAATTTTTCTACAGATTCTGGCCTCAAACCTAGTCAGACTATTAAATGATATATGCAGCCATTAGTATCAGAGTCCATGTGATGAGCATTTAAAAGAATTCCATCCATGCTAGTTCCTGAAAGACTGAGAAACAGCATTATACAGTCAGAAAATTCCTCCTGGTGGATCTGTTGTTTCTTTGAAAATGTGACTCCCTTATGTAGTTTGCAGGAAAGGATTGAGAGCCCCAGTAAATTCCTTTTCCCCCTTTATATTTTGGAGGGGAGCGGCAGCTAGTCTGGCATTTGCGAGAATAGAAAAATGAAGAGCTTGCACAGGATCTTTTCTTTTTCTGACAATGCAGAAAATGCTTTTGCTCCGAGTAACTCTTAAGAGCCTGGACTAAGGGATCACCAAATAACATGCCTCCTTTGTATGGCAAAGACAACAGTTGGCACACTAGTTCTAATTCCGAGGACCAGGGGCGTAGCCAGATGGCCCTCCTGGCTACTGTGAGGCACGCCATATTTTTAACTGTAAGCCTGAGAGAATCCTCAGCTGCATCATGGATGAAACTAGCAGCAATTCTACAGAGACTGTGTGTTCTCTGCTGGGCTCTGGATTTGCTCCTGGACAGTTCTTTTTCCAGCCAGATTAGTAAGGCTCTGGAAGCATGGATAGAATAGATAGACACTCCAAGTTGGGCTGCAGCTAACTTGAAAGATTTCTTAATTGCTGACTCAACCTTTTTATCAATAGGATCATTAGGGCTGGTAGCCAAGTGAGCAGGTAGAGAGGATTTGGCATCACCAATGATCACTGCAGTGTCTATTTTGGGTAAAGTCCCCCATAAGGAAGCTTTATCCGCTGGAAGAGGGTAGAGTTTACGCAGAACTGTTGGGGCCTCATGTATTGACTCAGGATTATTCCAAGTTCTACAGACCAGCTTCTCCACTGCTGCGTGGACGGGAAGGGCCCTGTCCTCTTCAGAGAGGATAGGTGGTTCTTCTGAATGCTGTTCAGATTTTGGGGGGGTTAGCCTCAGCACTCTCTTAATTTGCTTAAATAAATCATTCTGATTTTCCATGTTAAATTTACGTGTGGGCTCCGAGTCCTCCTGTTCCTCCACAGAGAATTCAGGGGAGACTCCCTCATCCTCAGTGGGTGATTCATCTTCAAATGCCCAGTCAACCTCAGACTTCTCCAGATCAGAAACCTCTAGCTCCTTTAAACTGTCCACACCTTCACACGCTAAGATCCTAGATTGGTCCTCAGATGTTTCAGGAAGAACCAGAGAAACTGCTGTGTGTGTGGCTTTGGAATTCTTTACTGGAAAAGGTCCAGCCTGAGCAGAAGAGGTCATTCTGTGCCTGGCCACAGTCAGGGCATCCTTTAAAATGGTAGTAATCTCAGGCAGTATTATAGCTCTCATTAGTGAATTTTTGTCAGATTCAGAGAAATGTGAAGGTCTTACCTTCCTGTGATGGGAACATTGGTTATCTTCTGTGTCTGAGCTGTAGTCTGGAGTTTGGCTAAACCATCGCTGGACTGAGGAAGGTTGTCCTGCCAGGGACCCCTGATCTTGGGCCTGGTTGGACTGTTGATGGAAGGGAGAATGCTGTCCTGCCTGAGTATCTGAGCCCTCTTCTGACTCCATTATCTGTTGCTGAGAAGCATGATGTCTAGAGTCATCCCTGGATTTCCATTTGTCTGATTTCTTTTTCTTGCAGGAGAGGGAAGTGTACATGGAACTAACCCTTGAGAGTTCTGAAGACTGCCTAGCCCTTCTCCTGGAGAAGGAGGCCTCTGATCTGGTCCTGGAGGAATGATCTCCTGACCTTCTGGACAAGTTGGATCGCTCAGATTTCACAGACGCTGCTTTGGCAAAGCCAGGGTCTGCTTCAGAAGATTTGATGGTACAGCTATCATTTCTTTTCCTTTCTTTCTCCTTTTTCTTTATTGTCCACGTAGACATGGACCTGAAGTGATGAAAAAAGTTCAAAATACTCGAAATTCTTAGAAATTTTTTTTAAGGAAAAACCTACACCATTTTTCCTCAAAGAAGCACTGCATCACCAACAGTGCTGTGTGAGGTGGCCTGAAACTGGGAACTGATTGGCTGCAGTGATGCTGAGCTGCAAGAGGGTGCCAAAACATCTTCTGCAATCTGACTGGTTGCTGTAGCTGCCCTGTCTCTAAAGAAAAAGAGGAAAGCCCATCATAGGCTAACGGCACACAAATACATTTTCGAAAGGAGTTTTCGGCATGGTAAATTAACTGCACAACTCCCTGTGAACAGCTCTGGAAGTTCTCCACATAATTCTGTATAATCACCACACAAAGGGTTGACAATATATGCATTATGAACAACTTAATAACAAAGCACTTGATGGTTCTGTAATTTAATGCACAAGCCATTTAAATATGGAGACGTACATTTCAGTACAAGTCACACAGATTGAGTGGTCTTTTCCCAGATTTAACCACTGTCCAAATCACATATCTTGGCACAGTTCTGCATGAACGTCAGTTTTTGCTATAAAATAGAGGTCCAAGCATACAAAGCAGAGGTGCATATCAGAATTAAGGCACAGTGGCTAGGCTATCTAGGGAAGTGGTACACTACTCTGTTTTCATTGTACCTGTTTCCAGCCAATGCTTTCAGTCTCTCACTTTTATAAGTGGAGTTCAACTAAATTAAATATGTGCATTTAAAATTAAAAGCAAACACATTTAAAAAGGTTTTTTTGTGCTGAACTGATGAATATAAGAGATTGGAAACTGGTAAAATCCACAGAAATAAGCAAACTGCTCTTTGGCATGCAGAATTGTAAAAAATAGCTTGTTTCAGATAGATAAAATGTATGTTCCATTGATGCAAAAAGAGCCCAGCAATACAGTGAACACTATTCAAACAAACAGATTTTCATGCACTAGAACGGGTTACATACAGAAAATAAAATGCTTTTTAAGCAGCAATTAACATGGGAATAGAATATAATGAGCATATTACCACACACACACAAGCTAAAACAAATCTATTTTAATATGAAATCAAAATACACTTTACAAAATTCTGCTACACCACTCTTAATTATTCTAAATGGACTTGTCTAATGAATGTTTTTTGTGTTGCAAGAAGATTCAGCTAAATAATTTTACAATAAAGAAGTAGCTTTAGGAGACACTAAAAAAAAATACAGCTTGTGCTTTGATGCAGCCCACTGTCTTATGCACTGAACTTCCTAAAGGAGCGTTTTTAATTTCATTATATTCCTTCACGTCTTTCTTTTAACTACAGGTACTCCTCACTTAACATCGCCCCAATTAACATTGTTTTGTTATTATGTCACCGATCTATTAGAGAACATACTTGTTTAAAGTTGTGCAATGTTCAGTTATAACGTTGTTTAGCCACTGCCTGATAGCAGGTAACTACTGTGATGTAATTGGATTTGCTTAACAGCGTTTCACTTAAAGTTGCATTTTTCAAGAATGTAACTATGACGTTAAGGGAGGAGTTGCGTATTAATGCACTGGATTTTGGTATGGGCAGCCATTTGTTTTGAGAACCTGCTTTCCAGTGAATGAAACAAGATAGTATTTGTTTTGTTTATCTGAGAAGCACATTTCCAATTCTAACAGAGGGCACCTTATAATAAGCTTTGGGTTCATAGAAGTGAATGCACTTCTGACAGTCTAGACGGTATATCTCTACCCTGCCTTCCATCTGACTTCAGGCTAACACAGCTATCTCCCTCCCTTGTTTCTGAGTCAAAGTATTTCTCTGTGTGTTACACAGGTCTTGAAGGATTAATAGATATGGCAAAAATGCTATCATTTTTCACGTATCTGATGTTTGAGAAAATGAAAGCTGGCCCTGAGACTAAAATCTGTATGTAATATCCTTAGCCCTGGGAGATCAGAATTTGAATCTGGATTCAAATTTTACATCTCTGGAATACATGCTAACAATACTGAAATTCTTCAGTTCATGTTCCATGGTATTTAAAATTTCTTCTAACAGTTTAATTAGAGCTACCCCTAATTCTGTAAAACATTAACTACAAAGACACTTTCCCCATGACAGAGTAGTGATTTCAAATTCATAAAATGAGTTCCATATTAAAAAATTATATAATACTCCTAAATAAGAAGGGACAAGTAGGAAAAGTATGTATCAGTTGCTCACCTGTATTCACCAAATGTTCCATCATCTTCCTTCATAGGCTGAATTTCTGGATCAGCATGTGCATCTTCTTTTTCCTTCACTAAAATATTTGAAATTGGAATTTTTATCACCAAACATTAGGACTAAAATATTTTATGCCCTGATCCTGCAAACTAACCCAGATGGAACCAGGAGATTATCCATGCAGGGACACTGTTTGGCTAGTTTTCTTTAATAGAAATTACCATTGCTCAACCAAACAAATAAAAAAGCAGGCTTCCAATGAAATTTAAAACTAAGAATAATGTTGGTCTCTGTGTTGTTTCTTTTCTAAAAATCGAAACAAAACCAATACAAGAAAAATCCCCCTAATGTCTCTTAAATGTAACTGTGTTTTTTTCAAATATTTTTAAAACAAATAATGTTTTCTATTAATACTTCATCTTTATACACATGGGGCCATATCCTGAATTGTTCACATGTATATATATTCTATACATGTACCTAGTCTCATTGAATGATTTGCTGTGTTAGGGTCTTTGACACAGAAACTTAGGAATCGTTAAAATATAACATATATTTACATAGTACAAATTACACCCAGAAGGTACAGCCAAGTTAGAATCATATTATGAATCAAAATTGGGAAGAAAAAATATTCTTATTTGTGTCTTTTTATTTCTGTTTAGATACACATTATTCTGTTTTCCTCATCTACCAACTATAATTTGCTATAAAGTAATTTGCAGTTCTTTTACGTTAGCAATTTTCATACTCAATTTGTAAGGTTTTAGTTTCTAATTCATTGTTCAAGGCAATATGACTCATCTCTGATAGTATTTTCTAAAGATACAATTATGATAATGCACGTCATCTTGAAATGCCACTCCTGGCTGTTGCAAATTCATATTGAATTTATATCTTTTACCATAGGCCAGCTCAATATGACATGCTAAAATCAAGCACAGTAATGGTTGAATTTATTTTAAAACAACTGACAAATAAGCTGCTTGACTTTTGGAGATGTTGTGTTACACAGTCAAGGTGCATCATATGTTTGCATGAATGATTTATCTTGCATATCATTAATAAATTCCACTTAACAGCAGCACTGTGACTCAGCCTTCAGGTGTAAGGCAAGCAGCCGTGGCACAGACTGTTATATGCCAATGATGTCTTCAGCATCCAACTGCTTTCTATATTTTCTGCTCTAGATGTTTCTTCTCCTCTGCTTATTCATTGTTCATGGTTTCTTCACATCAGTCTCACTACCTCTTCCATGCTTCCCTTTTCCTTTTCCCTTTTCTAAAAATCTATTTGTTTAGTTAATTCCCTTTGAAAAAAAACCTAGTCAATACATTAAAAATATACAAACAAAGACACAAATGAGATATTACTGTAACATCTGCAGCCCATGACTTCACTCGTGTGCTTTATATTTGTTCCTTGCCTTTTCCTTTCCTATCTAACTTTGTGATATACAGTCTCCTACTTCCTTTTGATATGACAACAGTACCCTGGTCCATTAAACAAATAAATTATATTAAGAAAAAGCCTGTCTGGGCAGTGAATAGTTCTTGCATCTGAAACATCTGAAAGGTGTTGTGGTCTCTTTTAACATCATCTGAGATACATTAAGCTTGCTCATAATACATAACCTTGCCTACTTTTAGTCTTATTTTCTTAAACAGAGTGAAGCTTTACATATGTCTAGAGGCACTCACTTTCTAGAGCATCATTTCCAATGTCAAATTGGACTAAGCTAATATTGGAGATATTACAGGCCAGTTGGGATTTCCCCCACCCCCCACACACACATTACTGTCAAAATTAGTGAAACAAACTTTAAACAAATGAATTAAATTCAGAAACACATTAATTAATTTGAAGATGTCTCTCATTTTCCAGGTTTCTAGTCTGCTAAATAGAATGGAAATCTCTAATGAGAACAAGGTTTCCCATTAAGCTTAACATTTCTGCTTTCTCTTTTGGCTACGGGACTTTAAAAGAGAAAAAAGCAGCCTTTTGACACTTCTAGTTTCAGCCAGAACCCAGGAATGATAAAATACTGGTACATATGTTTAATTACTAGAGTAAAAGCTTGGCTTCAGTGGGCGTCCAGACAAACGTGTGCATGTGCTCTGCAGCACCTCAAAGGCTTTTGAGGTGCCACAAAATGCATAGGTGCATGTGAATGGGTTCTCCATGCTGCAGCATGGAGGCAAAATTAGATACTGGTAACTCTCAGTATCTAAAAAAAAATGGAGCAAAAAAAAAAAAAAAAA